TTCGTAGGCTTGGCATGATGAAAGAAGGTCATGTTTGCATAGGTCATACAGAGCTCGTTGACCCGGTGTCAAAATTTCTGCCGTCATGGATTGATCTTCGTCCTCCATGATGTCTATCATGAGCCTAGCCAGCCTGGCCTGAGGGGTCCCGTTAGTTGCAGTACCTTTGCAGGTCCGCACTGAGGTAGAAGGACACGGTGCCCCTGGGTCAGGCTGGTTGCTCAGATCTGGAAGGCCGTCAAGGCCAGCACCTCCCTTGACTTTGAAGGTGCCAGGCTCGGATCTCCAAGGACCGTAAACCCCGCGGCCTTGGAAAAACCTCGAGCCTGCAAAATCGGATAAAATCGGAAAGTCGAAGTGAGTTGTCTCTCTCCCTGCAACTCTTTGGTAAAACCTCTTCAGACTGACTGCAAGTGTCAGCAAACCCAAAAAAGCAAGATTCAAAGATGGATGGGCTCAAGCCAGATGGGTCTGGGTTACCCACATGCCAGAACCTCTGTGGCTGCAGTGCGGCGCCTCTTGGTTTCTTCTTCACTGAGGTCAGATTGGGGCCGTTTCAGCATCGTGTTGAGCTGGGCCTTCTGGTCGTTGGTCAAATTGACCCCTAGGGTTGTGATAAACCCTGCTACTGCCTCAGGCACAGTGTCATCCACCATCTCTGACTGGAGCCCTTCCACCGGCTTGGTGGTGTTCACTAAAGCCATGTAGGCGGAGCTTGTAGTGTTCACAGCCCCTTGCTCAGCCTCCAACTTGGTTTGGATGCCCTTCATCTCTTCCAGCATGTCGCCATATGTCTTCTTGGCCTGGTCCAGCTTCTGCTGCAAAACCTGCTTACGGTGTGACAGGTCTCGAAGAGTGGACACCTGAGCTTTGAGCTTCTGAGCCATGTCCCGTTCACTCTCGGGTGGTGGACGGGTGATCTTCTCAACCAGCTCCTTGACCGCCGTTGGCAACTGGGAAAGGTTCTCCTTGAGGACATCTGTCAAGTCCGGTTCAGGACTCGGGCCGGGTGGCTTGATGCCGAGTTGCTCGAGCTGGCTCTGCAACTTGGAATCCAGCGTGGTCCAGGAAGCTGTCAAAAGGTTCGTGGTGGCCTTGTGGACTTGGTGCTGTCGAGCTCCTTTGTGTCCCCCAATCCTGGAGGAGGAGTCAAAGGTTTCTGGCGAGGCCCGGACCTTCTCGGTGAGGGTGACTTCTTGGCCGAGTAGCCTTGTGCAGGCTTTGTCCAGCCCTGTCCACACCGGCGGCACACAAATCCTTCACACACTTTGTCCTCCCAGATCCAGTTGCCGCAGGAGCTGTTACGGCACACCTGATAGCTCCTGCACCAACCACCATACATCTTGATGTGGTAGCAATTGCAGGGGCCACCGGTCTCGAGCTCAGAAACGTCCTGGATGGTCAACCGAAGAGCCCAGGCGGCAGGTGGTGACGCTTGAGCCAAGATCCCTTGAGCCTTGAGCCGGACTTGAGCCTCTTATGTTCCTTATGTATACTGTATATATATAATATATATATATATATCCAGGGTCGGGCGTTTCAAACCCTGTTCGGGCAGAAATACTGAATGGATTTCGGGCTGGAATTCTAGCCTGGACGAGTGACCCTGTTCGGTAACCCGATTCTTCGCGACGGAAGACGGTCACTCCGTTCGCATCTGGACATTCTTCTCACATCATCGAATTCCCCCGTTTTTTGGGGTGCGCATTTCCGACTGTGCCTGGTCCATCCAGGTCACAGTCGGCCATCATGGGCTCCAAAGGGCCAGATTCAGTACATTCCCTTGCAAGAAGCACACTCTTTGTGCCATTTGGACGGGGATGTTCAATGTAGATAGTCGCCGTAATTCAGAGAAAAGCCTTCCGATATCATCTGAGGGATTCTCCAGAAACATTTTGATGGGTAGCGTAGCCAGAACCTAGTAACTTAGTAGTTTCCAAAGACTTAGAGCTCGACCATTCAAGTTTCCTACGTTTGAAGTACGACCACGACAGAAAAACAAAACGCAGAGTCACAACATCGCTGACCTTTCTCACCTGAACGACTCACCAGGCAAAGGCGTGATTAGTGGCCTTTCTCGAAGCATGGAGGCCAGGACAGCGGAGGGACAGACGGTCTGCCGCAGCGATCTCTTCGTAGCCGCAGGGGAAAAGTGGTCTTCAAAAAAATTATCCACTGAGGGGATAGGAGAAGATTTGATGAAGTGTCTTACCGCAGGGGGACCGGACGGAGAATCCAAATCCTTGGAAATCCAAATCCTTGTTGCTCCATCGCAGATCGAGTGAAGGAGACACTGTCACCCAAGTACCCCCAAAATGGCTGTAGTTGATCTATATCAGCACTCTTGTGAAATGACAGAAACGGCAAGCATCAATGAGCGTACTTGCATGTGCTATGAAGCAATCACTGTTGAAATCAACTGAACAAAACCATCACCAATGAACATGTCATGTCGTTCTTAATTATTCGCAACAAATAAATGCAAATGGTTTGCCCAAAACCAGGTGGAATATTATATAATTAACCTTTATCTTCCAGGGAATCAAGTCGGGAGTCAGTCCTTGCAAAGGGAATTAGGCTCCCGTTCCCTATGGCAATGGATTGACATCCTCTTTGAGAAGGTGTTCGACATTGTTCAACACTTTTATGTGTTTTTTGATTATATAAAAATGTTCAAAGTATGACATGTCCAAACACCTTCTGGACACTTTTATGTTTGGACCCTCCAAATATGTTTTTTATTCAACATGTTTATGTTGTTTTTTGTTTTTTATATATGTTTGGAGGGTCCAAACGCCTTCTGAGAAGGTATGTGGATCCCACTAGGGGCTAGAAGAAGCAACGGTACCAGCCGTCTGGCTCACCCAAGGGCACTGGTGGATGGCCCATGAGCGGTGTCAGTCTCAGCGGGAACGTGACGAAGGGATGATGCACGAAGCATGCTTCGCCTTTTGAGTTTGATACCACTTCCATGATGATTCCAGGGAGTGTATATTCATGTACTGTATATTCTACAAATTCATGACAAGGAAGATGTCATATTGAACCAAACCAATATTGGTTTGGGCTCTCCCTATCAAGATACACACCAACGTGGTCTAGCGGAAAAAGACTTGGCTGCTCCGACCTTCACTCTCTGTCGGACGACTTGATGGAGTGAGCTACGACGTCACACTTGGATGATGCCTTCTTGGATCTTCTTGGCAAGTGAAAGTAGTGGACGAGTGCGAAGACGCAAAGCACTTTCTTTCCGAAAGCGAGCTTCTTTCAACTTCAGGCACAAAAAAAGCACCTTTCTCAGCACTGTCTTTCGTTCGAAAGTGAAAGGTGCTTTCGCGATGAGTAGAAACTTCATCCACTTCCACTTCTTCAGACCGATGCCTTCTCGGTCCGCCCCGGGCAGCCCGACTTCTCCGCCCCGGCAGCAAATGAACGGCACCATACGCGTGGTTGGCTCAAAGCCAGTGGCTGAACAAGGATGGTGAAACCTGGCGGAGAATTCCATGAATAGTTCTCACTTCTGACTAGGTGCAGGTAACTGGAACGAAAGGAAAGGGTAAAAAGTAGGGACACTTCTGTACCAGAGGAAAGGCGCAAACTTCAGTTCAAAAGGGTTCAAGGAACATCAAGGAACTAAAGTAAGGGAAGGACTCCAACAGGACACAATGAAAATAGACAAACATGTGGGGACTGGCCGCAATTCAAATCTACAGACTTGTTAAGTACGTGCAAAAATGGTACCTGTGCATGGGAGCAGTATAGGTACAAGGAGTTGAAGACATGGATTTCTCCTATAAAGTTATGGGAGAATTATGCACGTGGGTGCATCTGCTCAAACTCAAAGCATCCTGGCAGCCACTCCCATACCACTCCCATACATTCCCCATACCACTCCTATAAGGATTTTCCCCATACCACTTCCATACCACTGACTTACATTCCCTATACCACTCCTATAAGGATTTTTCCTATACCACTCCCATACCACTCCCATAGAATAATGACATATACCTGGTATATAACTGGTATATACCTGGTATATAAACCCTCCCATAGTGGAGTACCACTTTTATAGGTACTTATCAGGTTTCTTGATCAAAAGCGCGTGTTAGACAAGATGAGACCCTATGGCCGCGCGGAGAGAGGGACATGCAGGACGAAAGGTGTACACTCTGGTGACTCTGGTGTAAATGAGTCAAGGACGATTTATGTTTATGGAAACTTAATATAAGCATTTATATAATGGCGTATGTAGACAGTGACGTGCGCAGTGACTTTGGTTGGCATTATGATGGTGGTGGTGGTGGTGGTGACAATGCTCATTATCATGAGGATTATGGTGATGATGATGGTGATGATGTTGACAATGATGAATGATGAAGGATGAATGGAGAAGTTGAAATACATCTTGACATGATGGTTGGTTGCAGGATTCTTGGACTTCCTCACCTGCAGCCTGCAGCGACTAAAAACGCAGGTGATTCTAAAGTGAGGGAAGTACGCAACGCAGCATATTGTGGGATGAAGTGGGTGGTCAAATGTTTGACATGCTTTTGTGATGTTGCTCCCCCTGGGTAGTTCCTTTTGGCAGAGGCGGAGGACGGAGGGTCAGCCACCCATTGAGAAAAGCATCGATGTCCGACCCCGCAACGGCCGGCCGAGGAATCATCCAGACCGATGCCTCCATCAATCCTGGCAACAGTGGCGGCCCTCTCCTTGACAGCGAAGGTGCGCCCACCTGAAGGCGGAGGGTCTTCTGTCGTTCCGTTCCAAATACTCTCCCTGAAAGAATGGAAGTGAATAGCACCACCTGTTCGGTATTCGGAACACGTCATCCTTACAGAGCCATGCCATCCGCATAACCAACCATGATCATTTCCAGGAGTGTACATTATGTTACATCATGTGAACACCATTGCATTTCAATGGATCTTGCATGCGACTTCAGCAGACTCTAATAGTCTAGACTCTAAATAAGGGTGGTTTGCCTGGTTTGTCGGATGGTCTTGAATGCTTTGGGCATACCACATCACTCAACTGCAGCACTCGTGGCTCGGCCACGGTCCGCCATCTTTCCAGGCAGCGTGGTGGGTGTCAACACAGCCATCCTCTCCACCAGTGGTTTGGCTCTCAGGACATGTGGCGGGGGCCGATGAAGAGCTCTAACTTTGACTTTCATGGCTCATGTCACTTACTCTAGAAGATTTGTGATTGCTATCATGTCACTTACTTTCATCATGTTTAAGCCAATTCAGATGAATTTTACCGAGATAAACCATTCTTAGTGGCCCAAGATGATATCCACATGTTTCGATGGCGCTTTCCAGGCAGCGTTCGATGGTAAGAATCACCAATTCCGTTTGAAGCGTGCAACCGGGACACTGCAGCGGCTTAGAGATCTTATAGCCCGCTTCGAAGCCCAGAGCTCTCCCAGCAACTTCTAGACCCAAAGCAACCCCGTTTTGCTGGACTACAGGTACCTTTTCTGGTGTTGGCTTTGCCCTGCCCATCGACACCGTGGCCAAGAATGTGGGTGCCATGATCGAAGAAGGCCGCTGCGCTGCACCAGCATGGGCTTGAGGTGAAGCCCAAGCAACGCTTTGCCGGATTTTGGATGAGACGGTGTGGGCGTATTTGGGGTAGCAAACGTAGCAGGACCTCCGGAGCTAGTAGAAGAACAAGTAGGTTTGGTTTGATCCGAAGCATTATTGTATACGTATTTTATATAGTTTAATATGAATATATAGTATCATAGTATATATATATATATGTTATATAATAAGATATTTAATGGGATCCATTTCCGATGGGGTATAACTAACATCGAACGTTTTGGTGTACTATGGTGCGCTGGCGCATGGCTCCTTTCAGCTTCTTCTTCCCCCACCGAACGGTCCCCACCTCCAGGCTATGTGTCGCGTCCCTCCATTGGGGTGGAGCTGGCGCCCGACTCCGTGTCCGGCGCCTTGGGCGTCCCGGGAGCCATGGTGATGAAGGCGCCCGCCGGCGCCGGGGGCCGATGGAAGGAAGGAAGGAAGGAGGCCGATGTCGAGGTGTTCTGGGATGTTCTGGGGATCTTGAAGAGGTGTTCTGGGGCCATGTTTGTCCAGATAGATTAAGAATTGCAAGATTCAGACTAAAAGATGGGTTTCAGATGTCTGAAGTAACATAATACCCGGAACGTGGCAACTTACATGTTTCGATCCCCCCTCTTTGTTTTTTTCAAGCCTTTGTATTCTGTTTGAACAGTCTGATAATTCTGATCCTTCGCTGATCTTTGCTCAGAGTTCATGTGCTGCTCATCATCAGTGGCAAACATGAAAGCTTACAACCAACAATTGAGGCTTGACATCGAAAATGTAGGCTTTGAGGGTTCCTTTCGCAACATTTAATATGATATGTTTGACCATGGACTCATGGTGGACCCTCCCCAAAAGATGGAACTTACAATTCGGTATGTTTTATATCCCCCTTGCGAACATGTATGTAAGGATCTTCAAAATTATCAACGTATTTTCCGAGGAACTTCTCCAACTCTGAGTCGATTGGTCATCTTCCGTCCACATTGGCCGAGCCAACGGGGTGTCCGGCAACGGTGTTGTTCCTCGAACGGGTCGCGCCCGGTTCGGCCGGAAGACATCAGCACAGCACATCGGAATCGGCACGGTGGGACAGAGTGTCCCAAGAACGAAGACCGGGGGGGGGGGTTGGTTCGGCCGCACCGGACAAATTCCAAGGAGGTACCCACTAAAACACGAAACCCAGATGAAAACATACAAGATCTTCCATCAAACCGGAATGAATTTAGTTCCAGACAGGGCTACTGTGAAAGGAACATCAGGCTAGTGCAAATCCCAAGCAGAAGAACGCCTTTCTCGGGCTTCTCGTGGTTTCTCCTATTTGGATCACTAGGCTGCTTGAAACCTGTGAAAGCGAAGCCTTACAATTCTTAATCAATACATGCACATATTATATATATATAATCATATATACATGTGTTGTGTGAACCCCATAAGGACCACCCGGCAAAAAAGGACCTTTTTTCCGCGAGCTCGCGGAAAAAGCCACTGGAAAAAACGGCCAAACCCCAGAGTCGGTCGGTCGGTCCATGTAGGATCGCCGGTCCTGCTCGCGGGATCCGATCCGTCAGGTGGTTCCCGGCGGTCCTGCTCAACAGGCTGGCATGAGGCGACTCGGGAGAGACAGACGGGTCGAGCAGGGCACCGCGCGGAGCGACTTGACCTCCTCATCGGGACGGTGGTCGGCGCAGTGGTGTTGGGTTGTGGGTGTCGAGTTCAGGCAACGGAATGTTCTTCAGTTTTGGGATCCACATGACGTTGGTTGCAGAATCAAGTGAAGCTGACAACGAATGATAACATGTTTGTCACGTCGAGACATGTTCAATTTGTCAAAGGTGAGTGAGAGCGGGTCATCCTGACAAAGAATGGAAGAAGCGACTGGAAAATCCTGTGAAGAGTTTTGTCTCCACTTTCAACTACTGACTGGAAAGAGGAAATGAAAAAAGGGCTGAAGAAGGTCAGTGGCAAGCACATGCTCCATCAAACTACAACTTGCCCTTCCAAATTCTTTCAAGAACTGAAATCTAGACTGCAGGGATCTGCAGCTGTAGATGGTGGCTCCTCCAGTTCTACTGAACATCACTGAACCATCTGGAGACGAGCCGATGCCACCGTGGTGCCCCTTCCTGAGACTACCGTTTGCCACTTCCGTCACAGGGCTCTTCATGGTGGTCAGCTTGGGGATGCTTCTCGGATCGCAGGGGATGCTTCCCGTGTTTGACGGTCGGATGTTCAGCTGGATTCAGATGTAGCATGAAGTCCTTGATGTTGAGTTTACTGTACATCATTTTCCGTCACATATGCGCAATCGATCTACCGTTCGAAGCCTTCAAAGTACTAGTTACAGTGGTTTCAGAGTAGATGGCGCAAACCCCAAGAGGTCCTTGAGATGGGGGTCCATATAAACCACCTTTTGGGGTTTGTGCCATCTACTCTGAAACCACACAAACTTCCATAGTGATCATAGTGCAGAAGTTTTACAATCCAAATGGTGGGTGTTTGACCTATCAACTGTCCACATGATTTGTCGTGGAGTTTGTTTTAGAACTGCAGAGGAAAGAACATGACACAATACTATGAACAAACAAGTACAGTATAGTATATAGTTAAACAAGCAAAACAAAAAAGAACAAAACACGCATTAAACATCGGCAGAACTGCGTTTTGTGGGACCACAGGACCCTTGGGCAGGAAATCAGGGCTCCCAGATCCCCCGGTACATCCCGGGACGAGGAGGCGCTTCGCGGCGGTACCGCTCCGCCTCATCGCTGGTCCGGTATTTGATTGGATGTTGCGCGATGTTGCGCGCAAGCAGAAGCACCCCATTGGCTCGATGATGAGCAGCAAATTCAGGGAGGATTCTGGGAGGAGACCGAAGGCTCTAATGGTTGCATCATTGCTCACCCATGAATCCGATCACCGACCAGGTCATCGTCCGGATGGGCGGCCGGCAGATTTCCAGCTCCAGCGATGTCTTCCGCTACCTGGACCAGACACTCGGCTGATGGGCCATCCATGTAGTGATGGCCCTCAACCCACCTCCCAGCCGGGAGCGGAGAAGGTACGATTCGACCCGGACATTGGCAGCAAATGGCAGGTGGAGACAACACATCACCAATTGGGGGGGTACATGGATCAGGGTGGGCAAACTGGATTCGATTGAGGCGTTCTTTTGGAACGGTTCGTGACCGGGTCAGACTGGGTTTGGTGTTCGGTGCTTCCGGCTGGGGCGTGGAGGCGTGGAAGAGCTGCCCTAGCCGTTGAGGACAATGATCCATCCATGACTCTCTAGAAGCGCGTCCAAAGTTCCCTGAATTGGTAGGAGTGGATGCCCGGAAGTGGAAGTTCTGTAGAGCTTCCGCCTGGGCTTTGTGTGTTTGGAGGATCAAGGATGGATCTGGGTTGTGTGCAAACAACCAAGGTGGGTACCACTAGGCATCCAAATCCTTTGAGATGGAAGCAAAAAGCTTGGATATGAAGTAATGTGTAGCAGGACAGGATGGATTCAAGTCAGACTGATGACCTAGGGGCTGGGCTACACATGCTCACCAAAACTGCGTGGAGGAAGTCCCAGGGCCATGTGTATTGAAGCACTTGGTGCCTTTGGTGATCCAGAATGACAGCTTTCCTTAGAAAACCCCGGACGCCTCCATCGCTGGAGTTGTGAAGAGGTCTTCACTTCATAGTACATAGTATATATAATAAGCAAGACCACTGCTAAGTGACTGGGGCTTGGACTGCCCGCAAGTTTCCAGTCCATCAAGACGCATTCGGCAGGAGGGTGTTTTCATTTTGGTGGTTCCGTTTGGCTCGCGCTCTCAAAGCTTCAACAAAAGGAACCCAAAAGTGGAATTCTTATGAATGATTCTGAATGATATATAAAACGTTTTATGTGTTGGATCTTTGGACTGCTCATCTATCATTGGAGATCCGCTGAACCCTTTTGGAACCTGCATTTCCGACTGGCAGCTCTCCCCAAGGAGGAAGCCAGGTGAGGAGATTGTCATGCACCGCTGGCGAGTTGGACTGCCGGATGGATGCGGGGAAGACCACCGCGAGAGAGAGAGAGAGAGAGCGAGAGAGCAGCTAAACTCGAAAGGCCTCGGTGGTTGACTTGCCAAAGATAAAGTTCTCGGAGAGTGTTTTTTTGAGGTTCTTTTTTCGTGGAATACTTTTGTGGATGGTTGTTTCTTTTAACCCACCTTTTGTTAGCCCACAATTCCACAAATGGATCTAAACAAAGGAGCTTGAAAGATGGTAGCGTTTTGGTAGCACCTTACTGGAGGAGGGGATTCCCCAAGTGAGCTCTCGCAGCTAAGCCGTAGATGGAAAGCATGACTGAATACCTAATCTTGCCATCACAGCTTCCATCAAGACGTGGATCCTCCTAGTCCGGATGACAAGAGGGCTCTCATTGGAGCTGAAAGAGCCTGTCGGCACATCAACCTCTCCTATACCGGCATGCTGTTGACCCCGCTGCACGTGGATGAGACACACGGCGCAGCGCTTGAGACGCAGATCATGTCAGTTACTGTATAACAAAAGTTATAGTGTAATAGCCAGACACTCCATGGGACCGGCATATTTAGATACATTGGGGTGGTTGAAAAAAAAAAACTCCTACTTGTAATATTTCTTAAAGTTTCTTGGTGAGTCTAATATATTGGAAGGATTGAGGACGGTCCATACATACCCATTCAGCGCTGACATGTTCCTTCATTAGTGACCTGAATCCTCCATTGGAGTGTTCACTACAAAATCAGTCACCCAGAACGGAACGCCTTCTCCCGAACTCATTCCGGGAAATCCAAAGCACATTTGGCATCAAGTACGGAGGCCCGCTCCGTTTGGCAGATCCGTTGGGACCCCCCCCAAGATGCTCCGGCGCTGCTCCGGCGCGGACCCCGGCCAGGCAGGTGCAGCGTCCATCCCCCGATGTCAACGATGAACGTCCCGACCTCGCCACTCGACACCAACGTGCGGCCCGGGGCGTCGCTGGGCGTCGAAGGCCATGTCGTTCTGTCCGCCCCCTGAGGTGGATTTGAAGATTCGCCTGGGCCGATCCAACTCGAAGATGGTTGTCTACTAGCCCAAGGTGCTGCGAGACCAGCAGAGACCCCAGGGAGGTGGAGATGCGTTTTGCAGTCACATGTTTTTTTGCAGTTGGAGTCACTGAAAACCAAGGGTTCGAACCTGAAATAGACTCTCGGTTGACCAGTTTGGGTATGCATGATATGTGCGTTTTCCTTGGACAACTTTGAACTTTTGGGTGACTTGGGCGTATACCTTGGAATATAGGGTGGCACCCATCAGGGAAAGCTGTTTGATGCACTCAATGCGAGGGATCCAGGGTGCAAAGAATTGATTCTGTCAGGCCCCATGGTGTAACATGCATCCTGCTCACACTTGCTCAGCTTGGCCAACGGACACATGAATGAATGACATCCTTGAGTGGGCTTTGAAGGAATAAATTGGATCCCTGAAGGATATCAGTTGTTTGACTATGATTCACTCCTTGCATCCTGATAGTTTGGTGTATTTTGAGTAGGACAGGTGATACCTTGATGTATCCTACAGTCCTTCCATCAAGTTTAGCAGGTCACCTGCGGTCCACCTTTCTCCCGCGTCCATCGTGCGATCCGCGTCGTGATCCGCGTGATCCGCGTCCGTCCGGTCAGGTGATCGTGGGGTGGTGAGGACCGGGACGCAGTCGGATGCTTTGCAGTTGAAAGTCTCAGCTTATGACCTGACCATCATCCAAGCGAACGAGTTGTGTTTGTTTTTTTGTTTTCGTTCGCAAAAGAAGGACCAAAGAAGGACATATTTGGACACAGGGGTTGGGAGCTTCAGCATTGAAAGGTGGTTTAGAATAAATCGAATACATGCAAACTCCTCTTTGAGACAGATTTGATCTGCGTAAAGGGGAAAGGCAAGAGAACACGGGAAGGAAGAGGGGACTCCCAGGAAGGCAAAAGGAACGAACATTCTCAAACTCTTAAGAGTATTGTCAGACATTGTCAGACATTTAATTTGATAACTTGTTCATAGAACCTCTTTGCAGATGCGAGTCGTACTTGTAGTGAGAGCAGATCTTCCTGGAACAGTTGTGGACAACAGAGATGACTTCGACACAGGTATTTGGACAAGCTTCCCAGAAAAGCATTGCAATCTGTTGTGAGGTCATTTGCTGCCACTTGTCATTGAGATTTCAATAGTACTTGGAATCCCTGCGTTGCAACAGTTTTGCTTTGCTTCCACCTACAGAGTCCCAGTTCATGGGAATAAGGCAAATCAAGGCAATTTGCCACTAGATGGTAAGATCCACTCGCATGCTGCGATGGTCTGGTGTTTAGTGGTCAGGCCATCCAGATGAGCATGTAAACAAGGGGTCCTTGATATAGAGTGATGGTGAGCCTCCGTGGTTGATAATGTGAGGAGACCGTGATATGCCTCAACCAACACAATGGGCTGTGGTGGGTTTGAGAGTTGAAACTAGTTTCTCGTGATGTAGTTCAACCATGCAGTTGCACAACCTACTTGCTGCTGACTGCATGTCTTAGTTTCACTGACAAGGCAACAAGGCTTTCAAGCAGCAGTGCATTCCTGCTAGTAAGTTCAAGCTGCACCTTTTAAGCAGTCTGTAGCTGCAGCAGCCCATTTGCAACCAATTTGCACGTTCCATTTGTTTTCAATTTTCGTTTCGCAACAGTTGGGTGTGGGTCTTAGGTAAGCTTCAGAATCACTTCACTCAAGTCAACAACTGCTTCATGATGCAGATGTTACATGACACATACCTTTACATATGCCGCAACTGTTTGTTGGTTGGTACTCCAATAAGGGGTCACATAGAGTTTGCCACAATCAAACTCTCCATCCATTACGAGTGTCAACCACTGGTTGGGAAAGGTGCCACGTTCACTTTCTTTTTGGCCGCCCTGTGCCTTGTACCTCACAAACTGTGCGTTAAACGCATGACATCCCACCCAACACATGGTGCTGGCCTTGTGTTGGGACCCTGCAAGAGGTGTTCCCTTCTATCTTCCCGTGTTTGACTCCAAACTTGAGCGGAGGTTGATCCACCCAACGTCGTTGCGCCCTGCTTTTCCCAAGCTGGCAGCATCAAAAGGTGTTGACTGGCTGATGTTTACAGAAACCTTCATTTCAAGAGGCATGGACTGCATTCCTTTGTGCCTTACAAAGCCTCATGCACGAGCAAAGCATGCCAAAAGCCTGTGGTTGTTCAGCGACGGGAAAGGACTGACCACTGAAGCGCTCTCAATCACAGACCTCGTCTCGAAGGGAAGCCCTCCTATTTCACAAGGGAATGTTTTGTGAGAATCTAAGGGTTTGCAAGTCTCGGGGAAATATGCGATGGATTCCGTGTGCCAGTCCTCGAGTTTAGCCCACAGCGGGGTTTTGTCAAGATCCTGTTTTGTTGTTAAATGCGTAGGTATATGTTTGCTGGTTATGCATTGGTACAGGAAGCATTCCTGATTGATACAAGCAACACCTAAATTTGTTCGAAGCCTAACATATCCCCTGCCTCCCAAAAACGGTTGGTGCCGGCACATGTGCAGAACACTTTGGTTTAGAGCTTTCCGACCCAAATGGATTTTCAGCTGTCCATGCCCAGAACTGCTGGCGTTTTGGGGTTCGAGCCTTGTACTCGAGGTGCAGGTGGCATTTTCCGCTCGGCATGGTGAGTCATCTCCACAGGGATTCAAGAAACTGAGTCGGCACGCGTAGCACTTGTACACTCCCGAACGAATCATTCAGATTTCATGGTTCCATTTGCTTTGGCATTCGGACTTCATGGTCCTTATTGTAGGGCCATGCCCTCTGCGTTTAGCATTCCAGAGAGTCTACCGACCCCTGTATTACCCCCCATGCATGTGGATTTTTGCGGTGGATCCACTCCAGTACGTCGTCCGTTTGGACGGCAGTTTGAAGTGTTCACCCGAAAGATGGTGTATGTTCTCTCATGTTCGGTCTTAGCCCCCTCTTGGTAGAGGAAATTGGCCTTACGAGGGGCCATTGTCCACTTCCAAGATTCATGCAGGGAGGGTAATAGTCACGCAGTTGAAGAATCCTTTGGGTATTTTATGGGACTTCCATCGGTTGCGAATGTTCTTTTGCACTGAACGTCATGCTGAGCAGCCAACCGCAAAATACCTGTCATTCCATCTACACAGATCGAATGCAAGCCCCCAAACAGCTCAACCGCTACTGTCAAAGCAACAGATCCAGCGAAAGCTATCAGTGATTAAGCTATTTCGCTGGCCGAGAAAGACCGGTTGAGGTGGGGGTCAATCATTTGCGTTGAGAAGTTCAGAACTTCGGCGCTGTGCGGTGCTGTTTTCGGGTTGTGCGGTGCCAAAGCTTGAAGTATCCCATCCTTTGGAACAGAAAAAATATCACCACATCCATACAAGCTGTGGCTCACACGACGGTTTTGGTCGCATGTTTGGAGCCATACTCAATCGGTCTCTTCTGGGAGTTATGCCACATTCTCTCACATTTTTTATCCCGCTCCTCTTCTCTCCTCTCCAGTCCACTCCACTCCACTCTACTCCGCTGCACTCACTCACTCACTCCTAAGGTGAATCGCTCAAAAGGAACATGTCCAAGTAGAATTTGCCGAAGAATCGTGAGATTCTGCAGATGTTCCAGTCTTCGTTGTCGGATTCCAACCACGTTCCCTTCAGCAGCAGAGCCTGGAGCCTGTAACCAGCAACCCAGTGGCGACCCGAAGTCCTGCAGCCTTCTTCGCTGGGTTCAGGCCAAAGCCTGTGCCAACCAGCAATCATTTTGGATTTGGTCCAGTGGTTTTGGGGACTCAATCTTTTTTGGCAGAATATCACAGCAGAATTGTTGGTTGGTGGACATTCTGAACACTTCTACACTTACAATGCCTCGTACCAGGTCTTGGCTTGGGTCATATTTATTGATCTCGCAATGTCAACTTCGATGGAGACCACCAGGCATTTTGAGTAACAAAGACAGTAACACCGTGGCTGAAAGAAGAAGCCCCCTTGTCAATGGATGTCTTTGAAGGTGCATGTTCTGCTTTACGGTGTAAAAGACACCACTCCTTTAGTGGCCCATGTTGACCCATTTTGTTTTCGCCACCGAGGAAGAGATTCCCCATGGACCCTCCAACATGAAGCAAATTCGTGGACCGATGATCGCATGGTATGTGAGATTGCCATGCGGCAGTTTCGTTTTGTTGGAGAGCAGAAACGCCGGGCTATGGGGGAGGTTATCACTTAAGTGACTGTGAGGCCTTGTGTGAGTGACCCTTGAAACCATAGCGCCAGCCTTTTGGCTTTGTTATGTTTAAGATTGCATGGGGACGGAGCTCTTTGATGCTACCCTGTCCAATGAAGCTATGCATCACAGTCAGAGAGGGAAGCATCCAGTGGCCATGGATGTGTAACACATATATACACTACAGTACTACAGAGCGATCTCGCTCCCTAAACCGGACGCAGGGTTCTTCTCTTTCCTTCGTCTCTGTCGCGTTCGGGGCGATTCCTTCGTCTCGCTCACTAGGCTTTTCGTCCCATTTGTTTTGCTTACCTATATAAGGCTAAATAGTATAACAGGAGGCACTCCATTCTTTGTCTTTACTACATATAGAGCGACTCAACTGTCTCGCTCGCAGACCAGATACACACAAAACTGGATACTTTTCATTTGCAATTGTGTGCTTTGCATCTTGTACCATGGAAGAAATTGAAACTTTAGCGGCCTTTGCATGTTTTGGCGGTGAGGACTTGGAACCTTTGGAAGCTTTTGGGGTTGTGACAAGTCTTGGAGCCACTGTGTTGTACTACTTACTGTAGGCCTTAATTTTACTGAGGTTCCTCTGGAGCATGGGGCATTCAGACCGAACGCATGGTATCTCGAATGGTTTCGGGAAGACCACTTTTCGCTTGACGAACAGGTGGTGAACTCCTCTTCCACGTTCGTGAGTCGGTGCTTTTGGAAGGAAACCAAGTTGTGGAACTGATGAAGTGTGGATCACACTGCCATTGCATGTAGCGATGGGTGTCCTTTGCCAATGTTTGGTCGGGGATCATCTACCCGATATCCACAAGTGGCCGGTCCACTTCCGTGATTTTTGGATGGATCTTTTGATTATTACCACAACATGATGTTCGAAACCTATTTCTTGCTCTCGGCACTTCTGTACAGAGATGCTCGCCAGCTCCGACGCGGACTGTTGAGTGCGGCAACCAGAATCTTGCCCAGAATCAAACAGACACATTTGACCTCCGATGTTTCCATTTCAAAAGGTTTTGACTAGACTCCAACTCATTATAGTGGGGCCAGTTGGGCCCTCAGCAAACCCTCCTTTGAGATCCGGAATATCCACTACAGAATGGGTGGCCTGGCCAGCACAAAATGTGGTAAGGAAATATATGGAAATATGTTTGTGTTTTTAGTAGAAAAAAAGTTGGCTAGTTGTGAGCTCACACCATGGGGTGGTCGCGTCCTTTGGTAGAAGTTGAGGATTGTTCAAGCATCATCTTGTAATTGGGCAGTTTTTTGAGAACGACGTGTACATCGTTTAATTTGGTGCCCTTCAAAGTTTGCTAAGCCTGTCAGGCAAGGAATGCCATGGAAAACCCTGCGACATCGCACAATTTAGTACAAAATGATGTGCCGCTACGCCTACTGTTTGACTATGTTTAAACTTATTTTGCAGCGACCAGTTTTTGCCACAAAGAGACATGCTCTTTGTGTGCTCACTTTCTGAGGAACTTGGGGCAGGCAGGCCTGTACTGCGTTCTGGCATGTTCTGGCCCACCTTTCTTGCAAGATGTTCTAAGTTTGCACCATTTCATTTTGTGCCTTGGACTTTGTCCCAAAGTCCATGTCAGCCCCAAATATATCTTAACTATATATGACTAGGCTCTTCACGTCTCCCTGTTATTGCCATGGGTATTCTTGAAGCAAGTCGAGACCGTTTGGACAACGAATCTAGCTTATGCACTCAACTGCAGAGCGGAGTTGCAAAACCAGAAGGTCCGGAAAGAAAGGCCAAGCGCGCCCACTCGCACGCGCGCGCTGAGCCGCAGTGTTGAGCAGCATGGAAGTGGAGCAGCACGTTGGACATGTGAAATGTTCTCGGTGCAGAGAAACATCCAGTGGTTTCAGAGGTGAGAAATGGCACAGACCCCCATGTCCAGTGGTTTTGTAGTGAACCCGCCATGTTTTCAGGACATCGGTTTCGGTCCTTAGCCATCGAACGATGCACGCTTTCGGTTCCTCCGTGCGCCGTGCCTGAGCACGGTTCGGTTCTAGCCGTGGGAATGCTGAGCTGGTTGGCTGCAAGTACGTTTTGCTTGTTGGCAGCAGAAGAGAGAGAGAGAGAGAAAGAGATTGGGTGGGAGAGAGAGAGAGAGTCCGATTGTTTGTATTTTCAATCCACCATTTGCACTGCACGGTCAATGGACAATTAGCTCTAAACCGAGATACCGAAGTCAGATGGTAAATCATGTTGAAGGTGTGTGTGTTCCAGCAGGGCATCCCAGCCTCTGGCAAGAGAGGGTTCTCAATGAGGGACATCCATTTTTGAGCTTCTCATTCATTTGGTGAGGCGAAAGTGAATGAATCTTGGTGGCGAATGCTGTTGACCTGGGGGTTTTATGTGTCACACCGAATGTCGCACCCTGCATGCTCAAGATGATCAGAAGAGGAGCAAAAGATGTATAGGAAGTAGAGACCAAGACCAAGTCACAATGTTGATACGTTCGCTACTCGTCTAATCTGATAACCTAAGTCCATCCATTTGCTACTCACAATTGCTCACCATCGAACAAAAATATACCTATGAATGGCGCCATGTCACACGCAAGCAGCTTGCCCCAAAAAACACATGTGAATTGGACGGCTTTTTCCCCGCTCCAACGGGCTCCAGTCTTCCTTTGCTCTTACGTCACCGTCTGTCCACGTCTGTCGCCGTCTGTCCACGTCTGTCGCCGTCTGTCCACGTCGTTCCCTCATGGCTCCCAGCGACGAGATCCAGGACGGCGATGGATGCCTTTTTTTTGGAGGGGCATATATGGTGGTCCCAAAAATGGTCTCACTTATGGTCTGAGTCTCCATGTTGCTTTTTTTGTTGAAGTGTCAACTGCCAAGAAGCAGTCTAGCAAGAAGCACCACGGAATCAGAGCAATCTGTTGAGAACGTTGCATTCAAGCATTTGTTTTGCCGTCTTAGCAGGCTGCCGTGATTCTTCTCAGATGAACCTCGTTGGAAGTGGAGCTTTGGTGTGCGATGGTTTGCGAATATTTGTCATGTTCAGTCAGGTTCACGTTGTCCTCGTCAAAATATCCTTGTCGCAGGAAGAGGACGAAACGCGCTTTGCAGAGGATGAAGACTCAGGCGCGTGGTGGCTGTTTAGCGTACGTAGAAGGTACCCTCCATCCAACAATCATGGAAGCTGACCAGAAGCCCCTTGCAGAGGAAGATGGTCTCCCAGAGACATGTTCCACTTCTGTGATTGTTTCAGGGAGTGTATTGAGTGTATATAGAAATTGTGTGTTTTGTTGTGTGCCAAGTGAGTCATATGAATCATATGTCTCTCCATTTCGGTCGGGTCTTCCCTGTCGAACGGCTGGTCGGGGATGGACCAAGAACCGTCGGACGGCCGGCAGCGGCCAGGGTCGCCCCGTTCGGTTCGCGTCCGAGCTCGCTCCGGACTCGTAGCGATGCTCGAAATGCTGAAAAAACGGCGTCCTCCACGGCAAGAAGAGGTGACCCCAGCGGCTCTTTAGCTTCTTTGCGTTGCCCAATTCCTTGACTCCACCAGTGCAGTCAGCAGCTGCGGCTGAGCAGCGAGTTCCGCACAGCAGAAACCCACATATTCTATTTAAACGTCCCATCCATTGAGTGGATGTCAGTGGAGAATGGATGATCTACTCACACATGTCCATGCCCCCTCCAAGCTCGGCACCCGAATGGTTGGACCGGACTATTGAAAAACATCTGGTTTTTGCCAAGGCCCTTGAAACGGTCCTGCAGTCCTGGGCCAGTCCAAGTCAGCTACCACTGCAGACTCCTTTTGCCTCCGGACAGAATGCAACAGAGCGATATAATGGCAATGGATTTAACAGCAAGTAGAGATTGAGGGTTGTACCTTGATTGAACATGAACTCGGAAACTCGACAGTGGGTTATTCCATGCTATTCCATGATTTTACTGTATGAATCATGGTTTTGTGTCGATCGTCGATGCACTGTGTCGAAGAGAGGGAGTCCTTTGATACCACAGAGGTGCAGTACGCCCTTTGGCTTTTTGGCGGCGGTCTACACGGGGTACGAAGTGGGGTACCTGCAGGGTACCTGCAGTCCTTCCTCTCGTCCTTCCCAAACCTCATGATCCAAACTGTTCCCGGGTCATCATATCTTTAAGATTCAGACAACTAAAGCCACCTCTTCCGACGCCGTTCCTCCCGCCACACGATTCCTCTCGCGCCAAGTTCCCTTGCAAAAGAAAAAAAGAGTGAGTAAAAGTAATTACCTCGAAAACACACCAAGAGGTTTCTCAAGAACAGAACTTCAGCCTCTTGGAACTTTTACCACGGCAGAATTGTGGGTAATATCATTTCATGAGGCTCGGATGAATCATATCCCGGACACTCCATGTAACTAGCATAGGACTGCCGATCAGTTGGGGTAGTGCCAGGCGGGTCTTTCTGGGCGGCATTGATTCCAGTCCCTTGGAGTGTTTGGGATATGAGATGAGATGCCCTGGAGCTCCTGGCCCACATCCTCAGGTTCAACTACTTAGACCCCCCACAACCTACCTAACCTACCTCAGGCCAGGAGCCCAGGAGCCCTAGGGATGTATCAATCCCTCCGTTTCACCCAACGATCCTTCGTCCAACGACTTCGGTTCGGAGGTCCGAGCTCCTGGAGGGCCGAGACGCCTGCGGTGCGCTGCAGCAGCTGGTTCGGGGAGAAGAACCAGCTGCTGATTGCCCGGTTTTTTTTTGGACAGAACGATGTGGGCCGGGATTTGAGTTCTTGGTTGTGTTTGTTTTGATCAGAATGTCGTTGCAATTTGTGTTTGGTTGTGATTGTTTTCATTATATAGAATCTCGTGGCAATTTGTCTGTGGTTGTGTGTGTTTTTATTAGAATTAGAATCTTAGTGTATTTAGTTGTCTACTTGCAAGTCTGTCGAGTGGTAAAAGGAGTGGAGACAGCAAGGTGGGTAACATGGCAATCATTTGGAAGGAGGATGTTGCTGTATTCCAATTCAGCTGTGGGTGTATTTCTTAGCTTGGGGCTGGACATGGCTCCGATATATCATATGAAACTAGTGAGTACTGTAGTTGTCACATATGGAGTATACCTCCACGTCCCCCAGCATGTTCCCAAAGCACATGGGCTTGAATCGTGTTTCATAAGGCTGGACTTCTTCAACCATGTGTCCCAACAAGCAATAAGTCGTTTTCAGAGGTTTTTTGCATGCCCGTGGTGTTGTAGAGACCATGCGGCAGAGAGAGCGCGACATGTTAATCTACCCTTAGCGGACGGCATGGCATGATCCAAAGACGAATCGCTGTGTCAGGCATGGATACCGCTGGGTTCACTTGAACCCAGCAGTGTTCATGCCTGACACAGCGATCACCTGGAGGTTTTTGTTAAATGCAAACTTTTTAGACGGTTCCAGGTGTTGAAAAGAGGCGATTCCAGGTGTTCCTGAAGATTCCAGAGTTCCTTCATGTTCCTTCCAGGTCTTTGAGCAGACAAAATAGAACGCGGATCTTTCCAGAAGACCCTCAACACTGATCTTCGGTACGTTCCACGCAGATCTTCCTGGACGCCGACTGGGAACACGCGGGCGACGTCACGTCGGAGCTCGCGGTACCTCTGGAGCTGGGCGGGCTCGGAAGCTCAGGACGTTGTGGAGGGACATGGGCCACCGTGATAATCCCAGAATTGGTGTAAGGGAAAATCTACAGGAACCATCAGGAACCTCGGTTTTCAACCCCAAAACTATGGGTTTCCTGCAGATGTTCGCTTAAACCCATTCATTGAGTTAACCTCAAGACTCAAAACGATGTCAAACCGGATAGGTTGGCAAGAATGGTGGTCATGTGTGGTGGGAGGCATGATGTGCCAGCCCCGCCCTGGCTGGACTGGTCTATGGGTCGAACTGGGGAGGTCTCCCAACTTTGAATCACATGTCTCTAGTCACGGCTGGACGCTAACGGGGAGGCCATCGCTTCGCTAGCTGGGAGGCCATTTACTACTTAGTCACAAGGACGCTACGAACGTAGCAAACGGGTTTTGGGCGACGAAGGATCCGTTTTCATCGCACGTCGTGCTCGTCGGCTGCCTTGGTCGGTCCCTTCGAACCTGGTAGAGCCCATGGGAGCCCATCCAACGTCCCAGACCAACGTGACAGCGTCTCCAGATAGGCATTTTGTTCATTGGAATGTTCAATTGAAGAAGCAGCGGAACGATCACTAAGTTGACCTCAAATGTGCAGTTTGAAAATAGTTGTTGGTAGATCTTGTTCAAACCACCACATCTCAATGAGAGAAAAGTTTGGGCAGTTGTCACATGGTCGGTGCTTTGATTTTACTCTTTACATCTATTGACAGTTCAACCCTATTTACTCGGAAAAATGACTCGCCCAATTGGTCCAACGATTTATTTTGGTCCTTAAACTGAGCAGTCGACCGATGTGGGACTGGAGGGGTCGTATGAACTCCATCACCGTTTGGAGCTGCCGTCTGGACTGAACCACCTGCTAGTCATGATTCACTACATGGTTCGTAGGGCAAAATGAGATAAAATGAGTCATGACTCAACTTCCAGGGATATGTTCCATATATTACGATGCAGCTGCATGCATGTATATTCTATTGTATACAATGCATGTATATATATATATAATGTGCAATGCAATGTATAATGGAATGCATTACATTGCATTGAAATTGCCTTGCATTATACAGTATACCACATTGCATTGATGCCGAAGCAAGGACTCGCCACGACGGGTCCGCCACGACTGCAGGTCCTTCGACTTCACCGTCCTGGCCTGGGTGGCGCGGGCACCGGACTCGCCAGAGACCAGGCGGTAGCTGAACTGCTGATCTCGTTGTTCTTCGACATGTGGCCGAACGGCGTACCGGCCCGAGAACTGTACGCAGTAGCCGTAACTTATGGTATTTGATAATGTCATCATCACCAATCAACATCATCATGTGTCATGTGTCATTTTCTGTCATCGGTTTCAATCAATTTCCATTTGTTTCACAACATTGTCATCGCTCCCACAATATTGTCATCGTTCTCACAACATTGTCATCGCTTTCGCAACATTGTCATCCAACGAGGGTGGGATTAAAATTGGGGTGGGCTTGGCAGCCACGAGGGCATGTCGCATTCAGGACTTGAACTGTGCCCGATAAAAGCGTGAGCAACTGTGCGTGTTTCTCACGATTCTGCCTGAACATGCGTCGCTTTTTCGAGTGACGTTGTGCAAAACGGCGCCGCTCACTGCAGAAAAGGACCACATTTCAACACATCGAATTAAGGCTTCATTTGCATGACCCTGCATTTCTAACGACATATGTGCCTTGGACAAACGCACAACATGCATTTTTTTTTGCATGTTTGAACAGATCCATTTTTTTTCAGGTGTCCTTGATCTAGCAGTATGGTTCGGTTTAGGGCGAATGTTCGGTTAGGGATTGATCATCTCAACAGCTGCTTGAGCACCACAGGTCGTTTTTGCATGTGTGTTTTTTCCATTTTCCTTGTACTGTTTTTTTTTTTCACCTTCAATGAATGATTATTTCAAATTTCAGTAAATGCAAGCGATGACCAAGTGATGGGGTCCAGGTCCAGGGTCTGTCCAGAGTCCGCTCTTTCCATTGCCAAGTTACCTATCACTGCCTCACAAACATGGTGACAAAGCTTGTAACATGGCAACATTTTCTACTGACTCACCCAGTCAGTAACAGGTGGGCAGTTTGGTGAACCTGAAGACTTTGCCAAACGAGAGGATTTCATGGTCATCTCAGTGGCCATGTCATCCATGTCGTGATGTGTTCGTCGGAGTGTATGGTCTTTTTCCTAAGGGCTCGACTGGCGCTGGGAAGCGATCGACGTTCGCAGCGAGCTCGCTTCCCCACCCCGGGCCGCAGCGACCCCCACGCCCGGGCCAACGAGTTCCTTTGCGCAGGATCCTGTCCAGAGGCGACGCGTCCGGTGGTTTGCACTGGGCTGCCGGATCCAAGGCCGGGTCGTCCAAGCGAAAGAACATGTGAAGGCCGTGATACCCTAGGCCCTAGGCTTCCTGCCCCAGCATCGATCAAAAGCCTTCACCGAACAACCATACCAAGGTTTTTACACTACAAAACCAGGTTAACCATTCTTTTACTGGCCTTTGAAGAGTGTATTTGGCTGACACGTTTCAATGGCTCTGGAACATTTGCATAATTTGCATACAGATGTTGTTGGTTTAACACGAGCTCATAGTTTAGGGTCAAAGTGCCATCTCAAGCCCCTGTCGCGAACCGATTTGAGATGACCGTTTGCAGAGTAATTCAGACGTACTGAGGAAGCCATTGCTATTAGGTTGGAGGCCCTTGCTATTAGGTTCCTTTTGCTACTAGGAGCAAAGGTCATCGCTACTAGGAGCAAGAAGCTATTAGGAACAAAGGGCATCGCTACTAAGAGCAAGGACGCTACTAGTAGACCAGAAGCTATTAGGAGCCAAAGGCATCGCTACTAGGAGACTCTAGTAGTAGCTCATGGCCTTACTACTAGGAGCAAGAATTTATTAGGAACTAAAGGCATCGCTACTAGGAGACGCTTCTAGCGCTACTAGTAGCTCGTGGCCTTACTACTAGGAGCCAGAAGCTATTAGGAACTAAGAGCATCGCTACTAGGAGACGCTACTAGTAGCTCCTGGCCTTACTAGTAGGAGCCAGAAGCTATTAGGAGCCAAGGGCATCGCTACTAGGAGCAAGGACGCTAGTAGCTCCTGGCCTTACTACTACCAGGAGCAAGAAGCTATTAGGTTGGATGCCGTTGCTATTGGGTTGGAGGCCGTTGAACACCCAACTCTGGATGCACTGAGCCGCCGCCCTGCCTCGTGGCCTGCTACCGCCCTGTAGGTGCGTTGCGCGGCGGGCGCGGAGGCCTTGAAGCCGCCAGAGGCGCCATGGGACCTGCACGTCCCAAGTGATGGCTCCATTCGTGGTATCCCAATATAAGTACCCTCTAACTCACCAACTACTGTATATGGAAGTGGATGGCATGGCCTTTGGGAATGCTATTCATTTTCTACAAATAGGGATGTGTCCACTTTAACTATTAAGTGAGTCGGAGTGTCAGTGTAAATAGATATAGTCTATAAATTATATGTATATATATATTTTATATTTATAGTTCATATATACATGGATGGTCTCGGATAGAAGAATCCCAACCGGAGGACCCGGCGGTATGTTTCTTGGATCTTCATGATGAGATGTAGTACGGACATGAGATGTATAGGCATGTAGCTCTGAATTTTACCCTAAAGGCTAAAGGGGTCCAAAAGCAAAAAGCATCTCCCAAAGGGGCCTGTCGGGTTTTCTGGAAGACGTCGCTGCTTCATGAAGCTTCGAGGACCACTTCTTCAACCCCCATCTTCCTGTTCCTTCTCTTGGGGCTTTTCAGAGGATCAAGCAGCATCAAGAATAATATTGACTCTTGATTAAAAACACCCCCCATTTGAATGCGCTCACTTGCGGTCCGAGGACGCTTCTACCTCACCCCTTGCTGTGTCTTACAGCGGGTGTGGGTAGAGTAGGTGAAACACGAGTGGCTAGAGTACAGAAAAAGGCCCCCATTTGAATTGGACATCCTCTTCGTACGAGGGGTTTATGGTCCTCCAGAGTCTACACTATGATACGATGTCGGACTTAAACCAAGACCGCAGGAGTTGAGGTGAGAATTGTTCCATGTCCTGGGGAGTTGAGGTGAGTCCAGCTGTTTCCTGCACTGCTCCTTGCGTCCGAACACTGTCCAGGAGCCGGAAGAAGGAGATGACCAGGAAGCTAAAGAGAGCTGAGCTTAGTCAAGAAAAGTGGATAGAAAATGACAGGAGTCATGTCTCTTTTCTTGGTAAGTGCATTGTCTAACGGACATGGCATGACTAGATGATTTAATCAATTGTTTTCACCATGCTTTTATAATGTAAACATTGATGCTTCAACGACAATCTCCAAAGTGCAAACTATGTTGGTTCAAACCGTGAGCTTATTATTTGGTCAATTGACGGACTTGAAGATGCTAACTCGCAGATGGTTCCAATATGTTGTTATGTTTAACCCAAGGCCCATGTAGGCTACTGGATAGTTCCAACGGCTGAAAGACGCGTTTAAAAGGATGAAAAAACACATGGACGCTTTTCATCGGTCTGGGACCTGGGACCCGAAAAAGTCTGCAGACGTATAGAGACAGAGGAGCGGAGCGTGAGAGGGAAGATCTTGGTAGAGTGTCGTGAAAAACGTGGAAAGCCGGGGCAGTCTAAAACGCACACCAGCAGTTCTATGTTGGAGTGGTTCCTTCACAAGGATGGCCAAGTTGATGCCATTTGCTTCTCATTTAGCAGGTCAAAAGCTACCCCTTTGGAACTCCTCACAGAAAGTAAAATTACTATAATGTTTTTCATACCTTGCATGTCCTCAGAACCTTCGCTCACCTAACTATTCGCTCAACCCGGCCATGCCATCCACCTTTGAGACGTTCCGCAGAACAAAAGCGATCACTCCTTCTACGGGTGCGCCTTTTAGACTATACCCGGGGGCTCCAACCATTCCAACCACCTCCCGAGAAGGTGGTTGCGGTAGGTCTAACTGACTACGTTCTGAGGATGAGCCCTAGCGTATTTTATACAAAAATCGGGAACCGCTAAGGCGACCGCTCCGCACTGCAACCCTCCATGTGAGGATTGCTGGCCTGCGTGAAAGATTCGTCCGCGATCAGCTGGGAACCCCCCCCTGGCTGGGTAGACTGGTAGACTGGGCTATTGAGTCTATCCCAGACACTCCATGGGACTGCCATATATGCCTACATTGGCCCAAACCACCCACCCCAACTGATCGGCATATATGGCAGTCCCATGGAGTGTCTGGGTATTGCTTTCTTTCGGTTCGGGACACGGGGTCCGCTCCATCCTCTTGGAGCAACTCGCTACACACCGTGGATCTGAAACATCCACGACCATGACTCATTTGGTCTCAGGTCTTCTGCTGTGGGGAGAAAGAAACAGAGAACTTGCCCGAAGACAACCAAAAAACAGCAAAAACATCTGATGAAAAGCAGAATGAAACAGATTTGTGGCCAGTCCCGTCATGGCAGATGCAATGAATCATCCCTCGCCTCAACTTCCAAGACCCTCCACGGTTGTTTTGTTGAGTCGTTTCTCAGTATGGAATAGAGGAGGACATAAGAGAAAAACATTGAATGTGTGTGTTCATCGGTGAGGTTTACAATTTATTCTATTTACACGGAATCATCAAAGAAAATTGTTCTATCACCAGATTGACCCGAGTCCCTCGTTTCCATGAGTTTCATGATTGGGACGTGCTGGGCGTGGCCAGTGTAACTCATGCGCCAACCCACAGAAATCCGAAGAATTCAGTGACCTGGTCCTCTAAGGCCAGCGACTGAAAGCCAAGTGGCCAGGGACACTCAGAGTTTCTTTTCCAGCCGACCAGGAGTAGCAGGTTTGGGTAGTTTTGAGAGTTTGGGATGGGACATTCACCACACTCAGATACACTCAGACCCTTTCTTCAGGCTTCAGAATGGCAGCTGGAGTTTCTCCGTCACCCTCCAGATGTATCATGGATGTGATTCAAACACTAAGACTAAAGCATCTATTCATTGAGTTTGTCCGAACTTAACTGTAACAGTCACCATCATCATCCACTGGGCCCCGGATAGATCGGATAAACCCAATCTGTTCAGATGTTACGGGTTGGATCCTACCAGAAGCCTGTGTAACGAAGATCTGTCTACATACCAGTAAGCTGAAAGGTGTGGCATCAGGATGTGACTGACATGTATCTAACGGAGGTCAGGTCTTTGCTTTTCCTGGTTGTGCGGATCGGGTCGCGTTGGAACGGGAACGCATTGAGGTGGAGCCTTTACTCCATCTTCTGCAGTCATTTGTGAATCATGTCAGAACCAAGAGGATTTTGTGTGCATCACTGATCATGCATCAAAAGTCACCTTGTTTCGGAGATTGTTTCATGTTTCATTTATACTTATTACTTTTTCAGGATTACTCTAGCCGTGTAGTTACATCAACTCGCTGAACTCTTTCAGTTGCAAGAAGAGATGCAAAGAGCCTCATTCCTGCAGGTGAGCAAATCTTCCATTGATGACGAGTGGTCCCTGGCATGTTTTGGCTGCCGGTTTTGACAGTCTTGCCGCAATTTTGTCCAACAGCGAAGATGAGACTAATGACGAGACTACGACACCTGTATCATAAATGAAAGACAGCATTAATCCAGAGACTGCACATGTGCTGAAGAGGCCCTTGGCATCCACGGAACCTGTGCTTGGAACGGAGACTCTACTGATGCTGTATACTGTGTAACATGAACCCCGACATATCTAATTGTATTAGTGACATATATATATATTATATCATAGTTATATACATATTGCGAAACCGATGGTCCAAACCCTCAAAACAATCCTAGCCTACCTAGACTCAACCCTGTTGGGTCACCCCTGTCACCGTCTCTGTTTCCTGTCGCTCAAGCTAATCCTCACCCACCCACCTCGAGCTGTGAAGGATCCGGCATAGTTGTCAACGGTGAAATGGACAAATCGCACTGGTCCAAAATCAAAAACTTTCTAGTCTCCACCATTCTTTCTAATCCCTGCCAAACGATCCTGTTTGTCCGCTCTTGCCTTTAGGGTCGCGCTCTCGTCGAACAAACTGCACCTGCCTTGTGCCAAACACTCTCTAAGGAGGTTCCCATCCATGCTCTTTGTCAACGTGTCTGCAAGTTGAGCTTGAGAGTGAACCCATCTCATCCTACAGTTTTCCTGTAGTCTTTCTCTTATGAGAATACACACCAGGCAAGTGCGGTATTCCTCACAGCTAGGCATCGAGGTCTTGGTGGCGATGTCATACGCGGACGATCACAATCCGTGGCCACAACTGAAACTGGAGCCTTTGCCAAGATCGCCTCTGGGTTAGTTATGTCAACTCTTGGATCCTTTGGCCACTCCCACAACAACCTAATCCATGAAAGTCGATCCAAAGCACTCAAAGCCATGGACTCAGCACTCAAAGTTGACCGAACCACACGTGGGATTTTACGTGAACTCCAGGCGACTGGGCAAACAAAGCTCACCTCATTGTACTGAAAATGATGCATCCTTGTCTTGAACTGACATCTTTATTGGTCGCGAATGATGCATCGGAAAAGGCGCAGAACGTCACTTCTGCTAAAGGAATCGGCAGGATATGCAGGCACACTGGATGGGTCTTGGCTTCATGAAGAGTCCTGTTGATTGTCAAGAGATCCTCAATCAACACAAGCTCTAGTTACCCTGGCCTGAACCTCACCTACCTTAGCAGCAATATCCGGTCTGGTGTTTACTGCTGCATATTGTAATACCCCAACCAGTCTCCTCAACTCCTGTCGTTCTGGTTCTGTGACCATAGCAGAAGGTTCCGAGCGTCTCGATTTGGGAAGTGAAATCGGCTCAATCCTCTCTACGTACTCTCTCTGATCTACCTCAATTGAACCATCTGGCCATTGATAGTATCGGACGCCACAGACAACTGTGTTTCTCGTGATAAGCCCCAAAACTGTACTTCTGTTGGATCTCTTCTAGGATCGAGTGGGAGTAGGAATCGCCCCCTCCCAAACCATCATCATGGATCCCAAGCATTCCCCTTACGCGTGGCTTCCCTCCTTCCCCAGTCACTAAACTGAACAAACAACTGTCGAAGGGACAAGCAACGAATCCGTAGGATTCCCAACAGCGTGGACCATGACTTGTACCACAGATATGGTCCATCCACTCGTCCATAGGCTCCACCTTGTAAAAGGCATTGGTCGCCCAGGACTCTATCTTCGGGGCCAAACGGCAAGTTCGGGTGGAGCTTCAAGGCCCTTGCCCTGTCTTCCATCGGCCTTGCCCTTTAAGAAGGCTGTGGAAACATCAATTAAGGACCATTGACGGGAAGAGACAGATTGGAGAAGAGTCATACGACCATCCTTAGACAACGTTCGGGCGTCATTGGGTATGTTGGAGAGACCGTGTACCCCAACACCACCAACCTTGCTTTTGCCCTCCTTTCCCCACCAGGTTTCTCAGGTGGTTTCCAAACCAAAATCCATCTACATCGCATGATCTCCTCCGGTCTCACTGTCCCCTGGGTGACCCCCTTCACAGTGTCATGGTCCAACCAAGCTCGAATCTCCTTGTCCTTGGCTTGGCTGAACTTGGCTCGGTCGGCTTCAAATCACTCCATCGGACCTCAACCTTTTCTTCGCGAGCCCCTGAAATAGCAAAAGTATCATAGACAAAATCTACACACTTTGTTGGTCTCACATCAAAGGTCATTGCTGGTTCAGCGGAAAATTAAATCTCAAATGTTGGACACACAGTGCTTGGAAATTAAAATTCATCGCCAAACACAAAAAGTGCATCATTTGTCTCGCATGGAATTGGAACTTCGGATGCCATGGGAAGGAACATCATCTCCCATCGGTTCCAGTTGTCCGGTTGTGTCCACCGGTTCGGTTCTGTAGGTGTATACTCAGAACCGAACCTGTAGCCGGATGTGACGCTTCGCTGCTGAAACTGCTTGTGCCGTTTCGCTCTGTGGTTCCAACATCGGGTGACATCGGAACGTGGCATCCCTTCCAATGAAAGGGCCGTATCTCTAGGACCGTTTCCATCCGGTGTGTCGTCTACCCTACCATGACTGTCTCTGGAAAGCCGTGAGTATTCCCTCAATGATGCTGGCCTGAGCTGTTCCGGACTGCCACGAATCAGGCGTCCACAGTGGCTGACCCAAATGAATCTGTCGTTCTCAACGGTGACTGGGCAGGGCCATACCATTTTCCACGTTCAGTTCTGCCTCCACCGCGTTGTCTCCAATACAAAATCCTTCCTCCCCTTTCTCAAACATCAGGCCGACGGTCAGGTCGGGTTCGCCTCAGGAGCGCTTTGCGGCCGGGCTTGTTCTCTCCGAACAGCGGGTCTCCCTAAAGTGTTGGCCCTCTGAGGTTGTCAATGACCCAATGGACCGAGACTTTCCAAACACCGCTTGATCAGGAGTGAACCCCTTGACTCGGATCAAAGCATTCTTTGCCCCGAACACTTGTCTCAAACACTTCCTGAACTCTTCCTCAGTATCGATGGAAGCCTCTGCATCCATCCATGTCAACATGTTCTTTACAATTGCTCCATGTCTCTCACAACGACCAAGTTGCCAGTGGCGTTCCCCTGCGGACATGGACACCCTAATATTATCTTTCTGGAGGAAGGTAGCCCAAGTGTCATTGACATATTCATCTGCTGGGTGCTATACAGTTGGTAGCGGAGCTTCAAGAAAATCAGTTGGTGTACACATGATTGCACGGCAAAGAGAAGAAACGAGCTAACAGTGTCAAAGCCATTGGCGTGAACAGCGTGAAAATCCAGGATGGCCGCGCAAACCGTGACCAGGCCGTGGCCGTGTAAATCCAGGCTGTGGCCGTGTAAACCGTGTAAACCGTGCAAATCAAGGCTGTGGCCGTGAAAACAGGGTATGTCCTTGATTTTTTGAAAACTAGGTCGGGACGGCTATGTCCTTCTGAAAGGTGGTTGGGTGAACCCCTAGGTATGCACCGGAATTGTGCGAACGTTGGCTAGATGCAATAGTTTGCAAGGTCCTGCCCACTGCAACCAACAGTCTTCAAACAATCTACTGCAGTCAGTTCTTCTACACTACGTCCGCCTGGTGCTCCTGTGTGATACAGTGTCCCTTCGTCAATGAAGTGCATGAAGTGGAAGGTTTTCCCGTTGGCCTTAGCATTCTTCCAATACGCTCCATCACAACCCGCTTCATCATTAAAATCCAAATCCACATGATCCACATGTATCTTGCCAGGACGTACACACATTGGAGCTTTCTTGTGTTCAGCACATGTGGGACATTGGAAATCGGCTATCCCAGCTAAAATTTATATAATTATTGGTTGGCTCCTCTCTCTTTCATAAACTTCTCAAACAGTTCTGGACCTGGGTGACCAAGCTTGTGGTGAAGTCGACGGATCTCACCCTGGTCTTCTCAAACGAACCAATGCTGGCCCGGAAACTGCGATCGGTCGAAGTGCCCAACCTTCAAGTTGGCTGGGTTGCTCCATGTCCGTCTTTCTGCACACCATGGTCTGGCGGAACTGGTTTCAACTCACTGCAACAATTGCCGGGGATTTCCAAACATGGTCAATAACCGTGGACCACAAGTTCCTACCTTCGACTTGGACATCTTCAACCATTCCTGATTCTCCCCCTTGTGTCTACTGATTCTCCCTGCTCACCCGGTGAACAAGAACTGTCCTCCTGAGTGACATCTCTTGGGCATCGGACATGGTCTTCGGTACACGGTATCGGTCGCCGCGGCAAGCGATGAAGAGTCCCAGTTTCATGTCTTTCAACATGATCTACCCGATCAAACAAAGGTCCACTAGAAACCTCCCAGTTTCCTACCCTAGGGGCCTGTTTTGAGACTTCTTGCAAGATCTCTTCCCATGTTTCTTGGGTCTCCTCTTCTGGATCTGGGAAAGCGGCAGGCCGTGGTTTAAACCCGCAACGGCGACGCTGCAGCCGCAGAGAACCAAGTGCTGCCTCTCTTGGTTCCATGGGTCGTTTCTGCCGGTCACTCTCATCAAAACCTGCAAGAAGTTCATCAACTTTTTAATGGTTCCTCCCCTTTCATCAATGACACACTAATGCCTTAGCAAGGTTTCGTGCCAAGTGTGGTCCAGCCGTGAACTGTGGAATCTGTGCCGGAGTTGTGACGCCGGCGACGTCTGACCCGTCTGACCCATGGCTGGAAGGAGCCGTCCCTTCAGTCCCCACGGCTTGACGCCTGGTCTGGTGCCCCAAGGCAAGAAAACAAAGTGTCCTAAACACCCCTGACAACCCTGCCTTTGGTTTGGGGCTCCGCTACCAATGCGAAACCGATGGTCCAAACCCTCAAAACAATCGTACCCTACCTAGACTCAACCCTGTTGGGTCACCCCTGTCACCGTCCCTGTTTCCTGTCACTCAAGCTAATCCTCACCCACCCACCTCGAGCTGTGAAGGATCCGGCATGGTTGTCAACGGTGAAATGGACAAATCACAACATATAATTGCAAAGATGAACGTTACCGGGTGACCGTTGGTGCGCTTGGTGATATCATATCATATATACACACACTGTTCAACTGGCTCGAGATTTTTTGGCAATGGAGATTACAGCACTCTCAGGTGCCACTGTGACCCACCTTCATGAGGAGGAATGGGGCTGCATGGTGGAGAGTGGAAAACATGTTAGGGATCTGAAGAAACTTCTGGCCAGTCGGATTGGATACTCAAGATTCCGACAGAGATTCTTGAGTGAAGACATGGGCGAGCTTCCGGATGACATGCTGCTCAAACAAATGCCAAGTGTGCAGTTGGTAGTCCTGGACTTTTGCGCGCCTGAGGAGACCATTTGGGAGGATCTACTCCTTGCATGTGAGAACAATCGAGTTGATGAAGTTACACAGCTGTTGCAGAAACCACTGGATCCCAATGCCAGAGGAGACAATGACATCGAGCCTTGGCCTTTACTACGTGCAGCAGATCGGGGCCACTTGGAAGTGATACAGTTGTTACTCGAGGCTGGAGCTGACACGAATGCGAGAGACGAACATATGGCAACCGCTTTGATGGCTGCAGCTCGCAATGGCCACTTGGAA